CACCCACAGGCCCTCGTAGTCTCGTGGGTCCCAGCGCAGGCGGTAGTCACACCACTGCTGCAGGGGGAGGGGTTTGCTCTCTGCTGCACCCCACCCCCAGGAACAGGAGCCCGTCCCAGGGAGACAGAAGAGGCAGGGACGGGATGGGAAGGAAACAGGCAGCTCTAAGGATCTTAGGGCCCTAGGGTGCAGGGGATAGAAGGTGGCAGGGTGGCTTCTTACCATTTCTATCCAGACGTTGGTGGTGAGGGCCTCCTCTCGCTCATTCTAGGGATGCAGAACAGAGGGCTCAGCCCCTATCCCTTGCCCTCCCAGGATGTTAGTCCCTATAAGACCCCAGCCCCCACGGGAGTTTTCCAGCTCCCAGCCTCTCCAGTGTAGGCCCTCTCTGCTCCGGGCTGCCAGAGCCAGCCCCTTCCTCTCCCCAGCGGTCCCGGGGGCAAGGTGTGCTGGCACGCCCTTCCCCACTGTCCTCAGGCCTGTGCTCACCAGGGAGATGAGGTTGGTGAGCGTGAGCTTCAGGCTGACGTTGACTATATCTGAATCGCGCTCAGCGGGCCTCAGGTGGGGGTTGTAGTTGTGCATCAGGTCCCTGAGCAGACGTTCCTCCTGGTTCCGGCCCTGGGCTCCTGCAACAGACAGTGGTGAGCCTGGCTACGGGGGTTTTGGGACAAAAGGAGGGGGAAGCCATGGAAGGGTGTGACCTGGAGAAGCAGGGAGCTAGGGTGGGGAAAGGCTCCAGTAGCCCTCTAGACCCTCCGTCCCCTGAGGCCTTGGACCCCTGCTCCTGGGCTCTCCAGGACCCAGACCCCCTGAGTCCACACCCATGTAGACAGCCAGCAGTGGCAGGAGGAGCAGCAGGCTCTGGCCCCCATGCATGGTGCCACAGCTCTCTGCAGCGACAGGGGTGGGACTATAGCTCCTTAGGTCTGGAGTAGTGAGATGCAGACTCTGAGTCTCACATAACAGCCCACACTCCCACCCCAGCCAGCCCAGCCCCGCCAGCTGTCTGCCCACAGCACAGTCAGCTGTTTCAGGATGGACACAATGCCAGGCTCAGGTTACCCAGGCTGGGGAGGGACAGAGGGGCCCCATCTGCCCTAACAGAGACAGTCCAGCCTCCATCCCCACTCTCAGGCTCAGCTGTCCCCATCCTCCATCCATGTTCCAGCTGGAGGCTGAGGACGCAGCCAGCGAAAGATGGGTGTGGGAGAAGACAGAGTACTGAGGAAGGGCCTTGACCCAGGCCCCCTCCTCTCGCTCCATCCAGCAGGTCGGGATTTGGGGAGGTGTGAAGGCTGTTGGTTAAGCATGTTTTGTACCTGAGCTTCTCCGTGATCTGGTTGAGGATCCCAAACTGGTCCCACCAGCCTGACATCTTCATGGATCTCTTCACTAGGCCCAGACACTGGAGGGTCAGGCACTAGGGGTGGGAGAAGCACTAGGTCCCCCCAACGATGACACCTTAATGCAAATGAGGGCGCCAGGTCAGGGTCCCCAAGTCTCTGAGGCATGGGGCTCAGGCCTGGTAAGCTTTAAAGGAAGGAGGGCTAAGGAAGACCTGGAACTCAAGGCTCTTGGAAATAGGTCAGCCCACCCTCAGCATCCTGGGGGACAGGGTGGTGGCGGCCTCTGAGGGCTGGAGAGAAAGCACCATTTCATGTCGCCCTCCTCTCAAGCGAATGATGTTTGCGGCATTTCAATGCATGTCAGTAAACTGGAAGACAGCCCAGTGCCCTGTGGAGGAGATCCGAGTGAGGCTGGCTCAGACCCCAGCCCCCTGCAAGCAGGGCCAGAAGTCCCTCCTGTCCTCCCCAGGACTTTGGGATTGGGGATACGGTGATGGTGGCCCCTGCCTTCCCTGATCATCTGCTCCAGTCCTTGCATTTAGTTGCTCTGAGCCCCACACTCAGTTTTCCTTGACAGTGCTGCTCACTTCCCTCAAGCTCTGTTCTCGCCACACATCTGGGTGTGTAGTCCACTTTCCCTGGAGTTCGCAAAGCCAATGGCTCCTTCTCCCCACTTTGCCCTCTGGTACCCCCAGACTCAATTCCCTCTCCTGTTTTGCAGAGCAATATGTCTCCTCCTCTTTACTCTGCTCCAAGACCACACTTTGCCAAAGATCATTGCCGGCTTCGGCTACAAAATGGCCCACCTAGTCCCTGCCTGGCTCTGCTGCCCCAGGCATAGGCCATCGGTGATGCCTGACCTTTCTGACCTTCTCCTTTCCTTTTCCTACAAGCATCTGGGAGGGAAAAAGAATACTATGGAGCATGACTTCCTTATGTTGGGACTTGTGCCACCTCCCTATGTATGCAGATTGTAACTCCCATTTTCTCCCCATCTCTGCTCTGAGAGGTATCCTCAGTGTTCTCAGGAGGGCAGGGCATCTCTGAGGAGTGGCAGTTTCTGCCATGGAGGGTTATGTGGGGAGATAGGGGACCCATAAAGAGAAAATCTCGTGTTGTCTCCACTGTCTGACAACTTTGCCACCTTCTACTCCAGGGGCTGGAAAAGTGAAATGCTCCTTTCCTGGGCTCACGTGCAGATGGGGTATCCGTGTGATCGCATCCTGGCCAATGGGGTGTTTGCCAAAGTTGGCTGAGGGGTTCAGCTTTTGCCTCCTGATAAAGAGGTCAGAAATGGCTGGCTCCTTTCCTGCCTTGAACACTATGTGAAATGTGGAGCTGTGACAGCAAGCTTGAGGACAAAAACAACACGCTCTGGAGGGAGGGCTGGGCAGAGAGCACAGAACCCGGGTCCTTAATAGTTTTGCACCAGCCACTGCCTCACAATTCTTATTATGTGAGAAACAGGAAACCTTATTTGCTTCAACCACCAGACTTTGGATTGTCTGTTCCTTGCAGCCAGTGTATTCCTGACGGATTCATCACCCTTTGAAAGAGGGTGGGTAGCCCTGCTGGCCTGGGGAGAGTCTGCATGGACACCTTCTGGCTTCACAAGAAGCTGGCCCTGTGGGTGTAACTTTCTGGGGAGGGAAGGAGACAAGTTCCCATGTCACCATGTGGACCAGTCCTGACAGCACCCTGACAACGCCCTGGAGCTGGAGTGCTGGGGGAGTGGGTGCTCTCGGGGGACCCACTGTGACCCTGGGAACCTGCACAAAAGGTACCCTTGGTCGGATGTGGCATTTGGGGATTGTATTCTCTGGAAGTTTTATAGCCACCCTAGAGGAGCCAGACACCACTGAGCCTGGCGGGTGGACTGTGTAAGACCTGCTGCCAACAGTGCCACCGTGTGGCAGAGAGGAGCAATGATGGGGTTGTGGGCTCGGATGTCAGCCCTCTCGTCTGTGTGTGTGAGACAGGGACCTCCTGGAGTTGGTGGCCAATTCCAGGGAAGACCCGGACTGCCTGCTCATCTGAAGGGTGTAAGTCCAAGCTAGTTTTCCTATTCAGAGGGAAAAAATTAAAGATTTGTACCTTGAATTTTTGGAAAGTTCATATTGGAAAGCAGAAGTAAGGTCAGTTGTGGTCTTAAATGTCTTGTCTTTGCTTTAGTTCCATGGAAAGACTAAAAAGTCTGTCTTCTGTATACCTGAGCTCATGAGGTCATGACTCCCTCTGCGGGAGACGGGTTGAGCTGTGGGACCTCACGCCTGCACATCGAGGAGGTAAAGAATTGCGTTCTCTAACCTGCTCCAGTCCCCTTTCACTCACTGAGCCAGGCTTGATCCTGGCCCCAGGGGCCTATCCTCAGTGACTGAGGCTCACAGGTGAGAAATGAGATAAACCA